TAATACAGCGTGTGGATATCTAACGCGTAGTAATCCAGCGCGTGGATATTCAACGCATATTAGTTCAACGCGTACTAATGCAACGCATGGTAATTCTAAGCATAGGAATCTAACGCGTGGTAATCCTCGCGCTCTGATTGGTCCATGTTTTTCCTTAATAATTCAAAAACCAAGCTTCGCACCGCATTTTTGCAAAGGGAAATCTTATTCAGAATCACGTCAGTTACCCCCCATTTCAGGGACCACTAGTTGTGAGACACCCTGTATCTTCTGATGTGATACATTAAATTACTATTATTTATGACAAGGCACATCATTTTCCTCTGCACAATATTCTACAAAATGGACGTTGAAAATGTACTATATTTCACTAGCAACCTATCAATTTTTTATATTAGAATTATTTTTCAATAAGTGAAAAACTTCAGTTTTCTTAAATGGAATGCCATTAACATTGTATGCTTTTAATATTATATGAAAGCTTAATATATTAAGTTGTCTAAATATATTAAGACAAATTAATTCATGTGTAGTCTATAACTTTTGAGGTTATGTCATAACCTAAAAATATTATATTGAAATTTTCAAAAATATTTTATAATTTAAGAGATAACTGTATTGAAATGTTAAAATGAATCACCCTGTATATTATACGTATTTCTTATATGATCCCTATATGTATAACGATTATGTTAACACAATTAAAAGAAATTTCTTAAGCATATAATTGAATGGTCGAACGATCTTATAACCCCAATTCATTAAATCCTTTCCTAAACACACTTTACACATCTCCCTTCATATTCGTAAATAAAATTTCATTAGTAAATTAAAACAAAAAAAAAAAATTGCAGAGCAGCATTCAAACTTTAAATTGCACTCACCTCCTCGTGTTCTTTATGAAATCGCTCCTTCTTCCTCAGTGCCTCTTGAACTTTCAGCTGCAAAATACAAAGAGATTAAAAAGACCTATATATACTAAACTGACCAACAATCCCGAAATAATATAAAAAAATTCATTAAGGCATTCCGTGAATTTGACGCGAACGAAACTAGGAAAATAAACAACAATTTTACTCCCGTGACCTAAATCTGTTTATGACTTTCCATGAAAAGTTTTCAATAGCGATAGTACACGCGGCGAATATAAATATAATTTAACCGTTCAAACTCCCGGCAAGTTGTTTGTAAACTTTTTATCGTTCATCGGTGTTGATTTCATATTATGATTTTCAGGATGCGGTATTTTTAGTATTTCGAGCAAACAGTTTAGGATGTTTTGTTTTCAATTGGACGTACCCTGTGTATAGTTTCCTCGAAACTGTTTGGTTGTCCACCGTTCATCTGAAGGTACCGTAATCGGTCGTAATCCCGTGGATCCACCATGGAACGTAGAATCGTGTGTCCCATGTCTGGTCCTAGTCCCAATCCACTTTGTAGTACACTGTCCGGTGTATCCACCTGCCATTAACAAACAGGAAAATACGGTGTTACTTAAAGTTTACAGGCAAACGATAACATGTCTTAATCCTATAGTTACGTAGAAGCTATGGCTTCTTTAGTTAACAAATAATAGCTGTAATTATTTGTAGCAACTAAATTAATACGTTATGGTGTGCTTGTAAAATTTTTATAGGTGGATCGACTGCTACTTTTATAGCCATTAGGTTATTTTTCCTATTTCCTTATTTTATTACTTTGTTGTGGTATTTTGTCACTTTTTCAGGTTGTCATTTTTGAGGTTGTCATTTTGTGAGGTTGTCATTTTGTGAGGTTGTCATTTTGTGAGGTTGTCATTTTGTAAGGTTACCATTTTGTAAGGTTACCATTTTGTCAGATAGTCATTTTGTTATATTGTAGTTTTGTTATTTTGTCATTTTGTGAGGTTGTCATTTTATGATTTTGTCATTTTGTGATTTTGTCATTTTGTGATTTTGTCATTTTGTGATTTTGTCATTTTGTGAGGTTATCAATTTGTAAGGTTACCATTTTGTCAGATAGTCATTTTGTTATATTGTAGTTTTGTTATTTTGTCATTTTGTGATTTTGTCATTTTGTGAGGTTGTCGTTTTGTAAGGTTGTCATTTTGTAAGGTTGCCATTTTGTAAGGTTACCATTTTGTCAGATTGTCATTTTGTTATATTGTAGTTTTGTTATTTTGTCATTTTGCTATTTTGTCATTTTGTGAGGTTGTCATTTCGTCAGGTTGACATTCTATTATATTCTAGTTTCGTCATTTCGTCATTTTGTTATATTGTTGTTTTATTATTTTGTCATTTTGTTACTCAGTCATTTTTTTATTTAATCATTCCATTACTTAGTCATTTTGTTACTTTCTTATTCCATTAACTTGTCACATCGTTATTTTGTTACTTAATATTTTATCACACTATTTCATTAATTTTGTACATTGTTACTTTGTCACTTTGTTATCCTGTCATTTTATTATTATATTTCATTATTTCATTATTCCATTACATTTAATTTTTGCTACTCAGTTACATAAAAACTATGTTATTTCACAGTTCCGCCATTTTGTTCTCATATCACCATACACTTCCGCCATCTTGTTATACCGCCACCTTACAATTTTACCATCCCATTCTTTCGCAATCGACGCGAATTTATAAAACATAAAATTTATTAATTAAATTGAAACGTCCCCTCGGTTGACATTTAAAAAAGCCCGAAGCAAGAAAGTCAACATTCCGAGAGCCATTAGCCGAATAATTAAGACAGAAACTGGAGTATTTTGGCTATGTAACTTGAAGCGTTCCAAGTATTTACAAAGAGCATCCTTCTGGAGGGACGATCTTAAGCGGAAAATTTGTCTTCCGATATGGAATTGGCATGGACAAACATCTCAGGGAAGAACAAATACAACAATATTCAAATAATTGTAACAGTGTATACTGCAATAAAAAAAGAACACATATAAAACAACCTCACTTCCCTTATACATTCTTTCTATTTTATTATTCTTCAAATAAATTTTAAACGTTATGTTTTTTTTTTTTAATAAAAGAAGCTTTAAATATTATCATTTTATATACATTTTGCAGATTTAAACGTTTAATATTTATCGTAGGTCAACTTTAAAAGTAAAATACTTTAAACGAGTTAAGAAATGTTTAATGTAAAATATTTGAATTGAATCAATATTAAGTTCAGAAGCTCAAGAACTGTGTACATGAAATATTTAAAATAATTTAAAAATTGTGAACATCTAATATTAACTAAAATAGAACAGTAAAGTTAAAGTAAGACGAAATGATTATACAATAAATGTGAATATATTGATGCTGCAAATTAAGTTCTGAGGCTCAAGAACTGTGTACATAAAATATTTAAAATACTTAAAAAATTGTGAACATCAAATCTTAACTAAAATAGAACAGTAGAGTTAAAGTAATGCAAAATGATTATACAATAAATGTGAATATACTGACGCTGCAAATTAAGTTAAAAATACAGGAACAAAATTTGCAATTAAAATCGAGAGGAAGAATAGCGTTTAAATGACAAAAGGATCGTATTAAGTCACATGTAGATGCAATGACTCGTCCTTCCAGCAATGAATTCCTTTGTTAGGGAGCAACAATAAGTATGGCATTGTCAGCATACCTAAGGCGTATACGTAGCGAAGAAGCTGACACGTGATGTTAAACCGTGGCAGTGGTTTCTATTTACCAAAGGGATGAGGGTAATCCCTGCAAACGTCACCGAAACTACGTACACGTCGAGGACTATGTGTGTATATCGTAACTACCTAATAAAACTCGATTCCACAACGTGGCGTCGCGACAGCCCGTGTTAATGTCTCACGAAGCGTCTGACGAATTAGGCGATGTGACATTGACGTGCATTTGGGAAAATTTTCGGTGAAGTATGTACAAGACGTCTCAACATTACTTCGCACCTTTACACGTTGTTAAACTTTGTACTTTAAGTTGATACGAGCGTTATTTTACGTCTTTCGTCTGGTTTTCATCATTATAGGTTACTATAGTCTGTTTGGTATGATTAGTAATTAGTTATTATTAGTTATTATTACTTATGTGTGTTAAGGATGTTGATAGAATGTTTATAATAGTTGTCAGACTTTAACAGATTTGTTGATGTGCTATAGAGTTTTACTGTGTTCTTGTTTCAAGTTTTTTGTTTGATGGAAGTCGACCATTTTGTATTAGGAATATTAGCAAACGTTTGTAGGATCATCTCATTTAACTTCAACTTTCAAACTGATATGTTACATATGCTATTTTATGATATAACTATGTCATTGTGACATGCAAATACGTCGCATAAATTCATTACTAGTTACAAGTGACAGTCAGCCATTTTGTGTAGCCATGTGCCTTGCAAAATGGCGGACACACAAGTTACAGCTTTAATCTTGAAGTTGCTATGTAATCAATGTAATATTATGATATCTCTACATTGTTGTCATAACAATTGTTGTCGTAACAATGAATATTCATTGTTTAATAAATATTTAAACATTAGTCAAAATATTTCATTTAACATTTTGAACTTGTTTATAGAATAAGCCCTAGTATTTTCCGAACACTCAGAATGATAAAGCATCGTGCTGTATACAGTGATCTAAAGAACGTGTAAATACCGATACATAAAGTCCAGTATCGGTATTCGTTAGCCCTGAAGAAAGGTGATGCGGTTTCTTTAGTGGCGAGTACTATCCAATGGATGCTTTGAGTTTTACAATGGGTCGGTTTCTTACCGCGACAAGATGCCCAGGCCGTATTTTCGAGTCTGCTTAATTAAACAAGATATCAGAGAGCGTTTGTAGGGCCTCCGACGAGATCCTTTTCAATCCTTTCGTTACCTTTTCCCCTTTTTCTCGCCCTTTTTCTTGCAGAACCTCTTGCTTTCTTCCACTGTCGCTCTTCTCTACCGAACTCTTCAAGTCGAGCTCTTAGGCGAGGCTTTTCACGTAGGTATACGTCTCCTTAACGACGACTCCTTTTCCCTTTTTTCGATATTTCTTTTTCACCCTTTGCTTGCTATTTCAGTTTCATTCTATCCGTTTTTGCTTCGGTCGTTTTTATATCAACCTCACGGATTAATAGAAACTTGCGATTTAAATGCTTCGACGAATTTTTTCAAATATTTTTTCTTCTTCTTGCTTTTTAGAACAGTTGTATTATTTTTTAATATTATTCTTTGCGCTCGATTTTTCGTTATTGTTGGATAGAAGTTTTTCAGGTTAAGTTTTTAATAGTTTCTGCACTTTTTAATTTTATTTCGATTTGTTTCTAATATAAGGCATTTTATAAGGATTTTCAGATAGATTAGTGGTTTAAAATATTCTGGATGATTGAATTGTTGTTTTAGAATGTTTGTTATCTACGTTTTTCATTGTAATTAAATGTTACGGACTCTTAGATGAGTGTTGAGTTCCGCCATGTTGTTTACATGTGGCGGCAAATTCAAATGCACGAAATTTAAAACTTGTTCTCTTCAAGAATAATTCATTCTTTTCTAACATATTTTAATTCATATAAAAAGGAGAATAGTTTCTTTCAAAACAAAGCAAACTAAATAACTAAAAATAGCTAAATTAAGAACAATACTGTAAAATTTAATAAAATACATTGCATGGTTGAATTCAGTGCTGAAATAATTTCCTCAGTCAACTAAATTTCTCTTTATAATAAAATTTCCTAAAATTTCTACGGAAAATACAGAAACGTCGATTGTTCCATCCTGTACAGAATCGGCGGCAAATTCAAACGTAAGCATTTTTATAGAAACCTCTGTGTGAAAGGATTTATCTGTCGATCCCGATATTTGTAACGGTATTCAATTCTCTCACTGAATTTCAATTGAAACGAATTCACCTGCAATTTTAACGCGTGAAAGCGACGAATTCGAAAGAATAATTCATTGATTGTGCATTTCTATGCCTTAACGTTTAAAACCGCTGATTGCCGATAAAAGCGTGGAACGCAAATGAACTGTTGCGCGTAAATTATACGGTTGAGGGTTCAACGCGTTAATTTATTACTGAATTACGTGCAATTTAAATGCTTTGCGTCGATCATGCGTACGTGCACAGCTTGCTCTAGAATCGATTTGTGCAAACTGCTAACATTGCACGTGTACAAATTCGTAATCGAACCGTCGATATGCGCAAATATATCTGTAATTCATTTTTATTGTACAGGGTGTTTCGTTTATTATGGATTTATTCATTATTAATATTACTTTCGCTGATTTTTATTTAACATTTTCATCTGCTTCGAGTTTTCAAGGTCACTTTTTTTTCAAGGCCACATTTGTTCATGAATATTTCACTTTTATCGTGCTATTGCTTTAAAATAAATTCGACATGCAACTGTGACCTTTCAGTGACATTGAAGGTAAAAAATCATGCAACTTTGGTCGACTGATTATATGAAGGTTATGTTAGAGGTATAATTCATTTTTCTATGCGTTAT